AAAAATCCGGTGGGGATTCCAATTCTACTTTAGTTGAAATCGTTTTTTGATCAATGGAGTTTATTGTTTTAACCTCAGACATTGCGGTTTGGACTGTGGAAGTGTTGTTTTAATTTTGCATAACTCCCAGAATCACTGCTGTTGGGGGGGGGGGTGCCCAAATAACAAACAAACAAATTTAGAATCGTGTTGTTTGCAGCAACTATAGAATTAGCTTCTTCAAGCAAGTGGCTCAAAAGATTTAATAAACTTTGAAAAGAGACCCAAGTTTGTAACTCATAATGCTACTTCAAGTCTAGCAACTGTTCTGCCAGTAAATAAAATCTGAATCTCATGCCCATAAATTCCCAAATTTGTTCAAAAGATTGGAGATATTCCAGAGCAGACTAGGTATGCACACAGGGAGGTGTCAAGCAGGAGAATAGTAAGGTATCTTATTCCTTGAGCTAAAATCTGTTTAACTGATGTTGGAAGTAATCTTGTGTTTTATTTACTTGAAAAAATTAGATTTATGCTACAGTGTACATACATACAGGAAAAAAGTATAGTGAACTACTAGTGTTTATTTATTTATTCACTTCCTTATTAATTTTTAATATTACCTAGTAGCCACAATTATTTTGCAAATGTGCAAAGCATCTTTCAAAGTCTAGACTAGAGCATAGTTTTAAAAGGCCAGAAACCCACCTCAAAGTAAAACGGTTTAAGAATAAGCAGAACATAATCCAACAGAAGTGCAACAATCTTTTTTAAAACTGAAGGGATTTCACTTTTAGCCACTTTAACGTGAATCAAGAGATTCTACAGCTCAGTTTGTCGTTAATACTTTACTGTTTAAGTTATGGGGATCACTGTAATAACAAAGATTTTTTTTAAATTAACTTCATCATTTGGGGTGAACCAGGGAGAAGACTGTACGATATATATTAGGGCTGTACAGTACATAGATCAAGATTCAAAGAACAAAATGTGATTTGGATGTTCATGAATATGAATGTTAGGAGTTCTCATGAACACATTACGCCCACTTTGTCTTTTCTGGAGACTATGCATCAGATGCAGAAGACAGACACATGAGCCGGGGGGGGGGGGGAGAATGTGACACTTTTTAAATGTCCATTGTTCCTGAGAGAGGCTATATACTGTTATAGTCAAGATGGTGGCCACACTTGCATGATTGAAACTCTGCTCCTTTTCCATATGTGTTGCACCTACGATGCGTATAAAAGGCAAATAAGGAAAAGAATAAGTTATACAAAGAAGGGAATTACGGTAAAATCTTGGTGAGAAAGGTTTGATTAGAATTCAATGGAGAAATTTTTTTACTACTAGTTCTGTGGGTGTGGTGTGGCGTGGCTTGGTGGGTGTGGCAGGAGAAGGATACTGCCACATCTCCATTCCCACCACACTCTAAGGGAAGGATACTGCAAAATCTCCATTCCCTCCCCACTCCTGGGGGAAGGATATTGCAAAATCTCCATTCCCACCCCACTCTGGGGCCAGCCAGAGGTGGTATTTGCTGGTTCTTTGAACTACTCAAAATTTCCGCTACCGGTTCTCCAGAACCTGTCAGAACCTGCTGGATTTCACCCCTGTTAGAATTGTATATATAACTGCCAAGAGGAAGATAGGAAGATGAGATAGATAGTTAGGTAGATAGGTGGATAGATAATAGATGGTAGATAAATGATAGATGATAGATATATAGAAAAAGGAAATTAAAAAGCAGAATTGTCTTCTTTTCTCTGTCTTTTTCTTTTTCACATTTACTATATGTATATATATTTGAATGTATTTCCTATTATGTAAAATCTGCCATCAAGCTACCAGCTTCACTTTTTTAATACCGCAACGCTCCTGCTAAAAACCTTCATTCATGCATGTCATTCACTTCAAGTGGGGAGAGACCCATCACCTTCCTGACAGTGCCCACGGCAGCAAATGGGAAGTGAAATGATCAAGCAAATACACCAACATTTTGAACCCAGGCAGTTCCCAAAGCCTGATTAAATAAATGCCTAATCCAGTCTGCAATCCTCTTACCTTGAAATAGGACCATATCATTACCTAAATTATTCTTCCACATATATTCTGAATTAAATTCAGCATGCAAATTTAATTACTACTTAATATGCTCCAAACCTAATTACTGTATTTAAATTTTAAAAGTCACTTCCAAATTTATTACAAGTTTGGCTCCAGTTTTTGCTTTATGTCACAAACACAAACTGTTCCAGCTCAGGAGCAAATTGATAGTATATATTAGTCTCATTTGTTCTGGCTTAGATGCTAAGCAGGGATAGCTTTCTATCTCCATCCACCCACTTCCAATCTTGCTAAAAAGGAGAAGGCATATGATTTGTTTAACTTAGCTCAATGACAATCCATTTACAACAGAACAGCCATCATATCAAGAATCTGAGTTTCTTATTGCAAGGGTACTTATGGAGGATGGGGAGTCAAAAAGTCAAGATGGCAACCTCAATCATGCAATCAAAGCTTCTCCCCATTTAACACTGGGAACATTCAAGAGCCTTTTCTAGTGGCTGTCAGTCATCATGGTAGTGTTGGAAGAAATATCTATCTGGTTCAGTTCCAAACAGGGAGAAAAGCACTGGAAACATGGAGGCTGATTGGAAAGATGGTTTATTGATGAAGCAGAACCACCAAGCACATGGTTCTGGGTAACTGACCACATGGAGTTGAGAGTGAGTGGCTTGTATACCTTCTCTTGGGCTTTGAACTTGAGCTTCCTATTCCTGTGCAAAAACATATATTCTTTTGGCTGTTGTCAGACTCCCATGGTGCCTTGTGGGGTCATGTTTGTCCGAGTCAAGTTTGGTTGATGTTTGCTGGGTGATGCAATGTCCTTAGGAGATTGTGCAATGTAGTGAGCTCTGCTGCTAGATAATCCTATTATGTCCTGGAGGATCATGTCTTAATCCCATCACCCTGGAGCTGAAGGCTGGCCCACTCCTGCTGGGGCTATTAAGAAAGACTTGGGGGCTGCTTTCTCTCTTTTAAAAACATGTTTCTCCTTTAGGGAAATATAATATTCTGGCTTTTTAAATATTTTCCAAAATATTTCATTCTTCTAGGAGAGGGGTGGGTGCTAACTTTGTATAGTAGCAAGTTGTGAAATTGGAGGGGGGGCAGCTTAAGGATGCTGTAAACAACACTATTAAAAGCTTCATGAGGAAGGGATTATGTGTTGAGAGAAAGTGGAAGTCATTTCATTGCATATTGAAATGGGGTATTTTGACTGACAGAAAAATAGGAAACCCCTCCTATTTAAAACTGACCATCTCTGCTGGTTACAGAAGCACCACTAAAAGAATAAAAATATGATAATGTGGATTTGTAGAAAAATTATGGCCTTCATGTTGGAAATTGATGGGGGAAGTAGACACAAGCACTGGGTGAGAATCAGTAAGTTTCTGGCAGACCAGTGAAGATGTTCAGAAAACCTATCGGAGCCAGTCATAGACTGAATAGTCCTTTAGATGAAGATTTATTTATTTGATTTATTCATTAAATTTACATGCTGTTCCAGTTCCTCGATTAGGTGACTGGGCAACTCTGATGCCATCAAAGAGTAGATGGTCTCCTTACAATTTGTAAAAATAGCTTATTTGAATCAAGCTTGATTTCTGTTGACCATATGGCCATATCAGTGTAGGTTCCTTGGCCACAAATAGAATGGCTTCCTGTGCAGGTACTAACCAACTCCAAATGTTCTTAGCTATGTTGAGATCAGCCAGTGTTAAATTCTGTCATCTATTTTGGTTCTTGAAATATTGGACTGACCATTATAAAGCAGAATGCTGACCATCCTTTGAGATCCTCCCTCATTATCTTTCAGCTCCAAATCTCTTCTTTCCTCCAATAGGTTTGACATCATGGTTTACTGGTACCACAATGTAGTTTTTCTTGCAATAATAGGGGGAAGTTTAAAATATCACTCTCTGCAAATGCCATTCCACCTGCTCTGCATCTGTGAACAAATCTAACTTTAGATAGAAAACAATCTTAAATATTTTTAACTTGTTAATGATCCTCTTGCAGAGTCACTATGGGGACTCACTAACACTTTCATTTGCTTAAGTTCTGGCCTGCTGTAACCTGCCCTCTGTGATAATCATCTCAAAATGCAATTTGACGTGAACGTGGAAGCAGCAAACTGCTTTGCTTGCAGCAGAGAAACTATTGCAGCCAACCAATGGGTGTTTGAGTACACAAAACAGATACCTGACAAACTTGTAATACAACAAGATTTGGAGTGTTCTGATGGGAATGGGCTCTAAACTTCTGATTTGGAAGTAGTCGGTTATTTTTAGATACGTTGTTGTTAACTATTTTAATTGATCTTGAGGTAACATAGAACAGGCATCTCCAAATTCCACGTTGTGGCCTGTTCAGAACCACGCTACACAAGCAGCGTGTGAGTGACTGAAATTCCACTTGCATGAGTGGCGGGTGCTCGCACTCCCTCCACTGCTTGTGCAAATGGAGCTGTGCACACAAGTGTGCTCACCCGCTGCTTACATGGAACCATCCTGTCTCCCCACCACCACCACCACCGTTGCCAGTCCACAAAGCCAGAAAGGTTGGGGACCACCAACATAGAAGATATATACATTTTGCAAAGTCCTAGAAACACCTCACTAAGCTTCCCAGAATAATTTGTGAATGCTGCATACTATTTTCACTTTTTAAAAAATTTCCTCCTCCATGATCACACACACTTGCATTTGAATGTGTACCTTCCTTTAGAGAATAATGTAGATTTAAATTATACTAATCCTACAGCCATTAACTTCTGCACTGATTCAGTTATGTACTTAAGGAACATAAATTCAGAGTATTTGAAGCTAATCCCAGCTGAATCACTGCAAGTTCTCATCATCTGCATAAAACACTCACACAGAGAACTATATAACATTTTTATTAAAGACAAACTGCCATTATCAATCTGATTGGGATTTGTTTTATTTCTCCAGGCCTGCTACAGAGACTGGAGAGGAGGAGGAAGATAAAGGTTCATCAAGTCAGCCTATTGCTCTGAGGAATTGTTTCCACCTGCAGAGGAACAGTATTCTTGAGAAGCTCATCAAAACCTGCCCAGTTTGGCTCCAGTTTGGCATCAGTCTGGAAAAGACTTCTGATATACTCTGCAAGGAACCATCAGGGGTACAGTTATGCTTCTTCAAATAATCCAGTTCTTCAGGGACCAGATATTCTTTCTCAAACCTCGATCTGATCCTGAATCAGATCTTAATCTGCATTTGACCAATGGCTTTGTTTCCCTGCTATAGAACTGTCACTTCCTCAAATGTTCATAGGACTGGTTGTAAGGTAGCATTGAAGGCATAAATAGTACAGACCAGCCTTAATCAGCTTGTCCCTCATCAGAATTCCCAGCCAACATGGACTGTCTCATCTAGAAGCATCAAATTGGGGAATGCAGGATAGCATGAAAGTGGCAGGCATCAGGAATGACAGGTTGTTGTTGTTTACTAGCCACTCCAGGTGGGCTATTCAGAGCCAAATACAGCATATGATTTATTCATTTGATTTATTTAAAAATTCATATGCAGCTTTTTCCAAACACACTTTTTCCCCCCAGGACAGTGTGCAAAACATTTCAGAAACTAGTATCCGCTTCTGAATACATGCTTAGCCCAAGAATTTCTTCTGTTTGATGCAAAAGGATTGAATTTTTCTTATTATAACAATCGTATTTTGTCCAGGGAGGGGGAACTTTTAATTATTGATAATAAAGGATTGCAATTTGATGAATGAATATGGATTGAATACAAAAGTTGAGTACAAAAGTAAGTTTGGGTGCTTTGGTCATGAATGAGCATGACAATGACTGAGGACCAATTCTTTCTCTTCTCTCCTAACTTTAATTTCTCTGGCTTACTATTTCTCACTTTTCCTTTGCTTTATATAATGTAGCTTATGCAAAAAAGTATTGCGTGATACATATGCATGTATGGAAATCTAGTGAAATTTTACTGAGATCTATTGGGAGATTTTGTTCTATCTTTTGCTCTGCTTCAGCTTGCAGGGATGAAAAGAGAAATACACCTTGGATTTATTTCCCCAGTAACTTTTTGTAGCAATTGTGTTGACCATAAAATGCTTTATAACTGTTACATGATTGAAAAAGCACAAAGGCTGTTACTCATTGATATTCGACATGTGTTGCTTGTAAATAACTCAAATCTGCAATACAAAATTACACTTCAACTCCCATTTACCAAATCGCTCATCTTTTATTATTCCTTTGTAGTACCAGCTGCTATCTTTGAATAAAGGAGACACATATATACCACAGCAGATTGCTAACACATATACTCTTATTTGGTGCTTATCAACATTCCCAATTCAATTGTCCCAGAATTCCCAACTTTGCTATCTGGAGGCCAACAGATTGGGGAAAGCTGGTGGACGTATTTATTTTTACACCTATCCTTTCCATGAAGAGCCTTTCATTTACTTATTCCCTTAAATATCTCATCTCTACTTTGTTCCAAACCCAGCTCCATTTGCATTTGTTTTGCTGCTCAGTCCCAGTGGCTCTGTCCTTAGCAGCCATTCCCTCCAGCATACTTCTGCTTCCTTTCTTGTGTCATTCTAACTTCCAAAAAATCTTTTCCCCACTCTAGAGACAGCTCTTTACAAAAGACAGGCCTTGGTAGAGAATATGAAAGGGCTAAAAGCAGAATGGATAATCACAATGGAGGCAGCTTTATATCTCAACCAAGTTATTTATGCTAGTCTCAAATGAACTGGATCACAGAGAATAGGAAAGTAGTCTAATTTTCAGATGCTAGTAATAAAATGCAAAGCACGTATTTTTTTTTTTTTACAAAATTCTAGAAGGAACTGTAGGTAAATGAGTTACACGAGGAAGATTCCATATATTAAATAATGTATTTTGAATGGGCTTTCAGTGCCCCTGAAATAAATGTTGGGATCTTGATGGACACCTGATTGAAACCATTGATATATTCTGCAGTAGGGGAAAACAAAAATTAAACTGGAGACTAGGGGTTGATGTGGAAAAAAGATACAAATCCATGGCATGGCTTTCTTTGCTATCTAAGATATAGTTCCCATGTGCTGGAGCCTTCTGTATTTCCCACAGCACCTAGGTCTTAAATGATATGCCTTAAGAACCCACTGCTCTTCTTCAGAATCGCGTTGAAGGCAGTGACATTCACAGAAGGGGTTGATGGAGGGCAACTGATGAAAACTGATTGCAGCTCTTCTTTTGTAAGTGCATCTTCTTTTGTAAGTGTACCATGTCACTTCCATGTAAAAAGGGGCAGGGTTTGTGCTGCCATAGTCATTTTGATGAAGTGATAAATCCTGCAGGTGCCTCTGCCTGAAAATATCATGTGGCTGAGGTTTCACAACCCTGTGAAGCACAGTTGCCTTTTAAGAAAGCAAGATAGAAAGCTTTCTAAGACTGTTTCATGGTCTTGGCATTGGAGCAAACATGTGTATCCACAGACACTTAGGTTCTGTCCCTTGCTTTATCTGATAGTGTTGTACTATGCTTCAGAAATTAAATTTGATGCAGGACTGAAGATAACATCTCTTGACAACAGCATGACAATAGTAATGAAGCATGTTTTAAGAACAATAAAATCAGGAAAGTACTGATACGTCCGTTCCTTAGCATGACAAAGAATCTTACTTTAGCTGTGAATAAACCCATAGTTATAATTATATGGAAGTTTTCCTTATCGTTATAATGAGTGGATAGTGTGGGAACATTGTTCTCAGGAAACTTGTGGATTTGATTTCAATAGATTCAGAAATGTGTGAAAGTTTACTTCCATGAAAATACCTCAGTATGTGATAATTCTGCCTTGCCACCTATTAGATAAGTTTCTTTCATTTCCTTTTATCAGTAAATTACTTTTTTGCTATTACTTATTAAATGCTATTGCATATTACGGCATCATTAGCATTGCTAGCTTTATCCTTCCCACTTTTTGTAATAAGAGCAGCAGTCTATAATTAGTCTATAATTAGTCCATTTTTAAAGCTCTTGACATTCTATTTGGCCCAAGGCAAAATGTCAGCTATAAGTCTTCTCATCCCACCTTAAGCATGAAAACCGTCTGGGTGACTGTGGGCCAGTTACTCTTTCTCAGTCCAATCCACAATCAGAGGGTTATTGTTCTAGGTCAAATAGGAAGAGGAAGGGGTAATAGGTATACTTGCCACCTTGAGTCCTTTATAAAAATAATAAATGTGGGTAACAAATAAATAATAAATGTGGGAAACAATAAATAAATAAGGACTTCATTTTCTATTTTAAGGACAAGCTAACATAATTTGTCATAATTAGAGCTCAGGCTCTAATTAGATGCCTACAGAAAGGGTCAAAGTAGTTATTATCTATTACTTAAGCAAACCTTATCAAAAACATTAGTGACCAGAGGATCATTTGTAGGGAATATAGGAGCAGTAAAAGAAGCATTTAATCTCTTGTTAGGGAAATAAAATTTCCAAGAATAAAAAGGCATATTAATTTCTAAAAAAATATTTATTTATGTATTTGTTTGTTTATGTTAATTCATAACTCAATTTTCCAGGAGTCCTGAGCAAAATTTGCAATAAATAAATAAACTTGAAATTTAATATGTGGAAAACAAAGCAGCTTTCAATACTTCAAGACTTCCTGTTTCCTATTTGTGAACACATTTTGGACAATATTATTTCCAGGTCAAAGCAAGTTAATCAATGACTTGAGAAGCAATAGACTCTTCAATCTATGATTCAGGAAATGAAGAAAGGAGTAGATCCTCTTTTCCATCTCCATTAAGAAGATCTCCAATCCATTTACAAGCTCCCCCCAATCAGATTAATACAGAACTGTGACAACAAAGTGAGATCATTCATCTATGTAACAGTTCTGACATTCATTAAGAGAGAGGACCTTAGAGAAAAACCAGGCTCCCAGAGAGGGATTGTTTCTGATCCATTTGGCGTGCAGAAACAATGACAAGCAGGCATTTTTGTAGGTCCTTGACATTTGTTCTTCCCACCTTTCCTGAAATTAATATTTTCCCCTACAAATACTTCCCCACATTTTCCTCTCTGCTGGATTCCCCTACCATGTTAGAATCCAGAATGGATTGCAGATAAATGAATTTCCAGTTAAATTTAGCCTATGGCAGAAAAGCTGGGAATCCATACTGATTTTACTGAATCAGTGTAGTAGAGTTAACTATACCATGACCAACGTCCCCTGGTGTTTAAGGAATACATATACTGGTACCCTGTTTTCCCCAAATTAAGACATCCCCTGATAATAAGCCCCAATCGGGCTTTTGAGCACATGACAATAAGGCCAAGCACTTATTTCAGGGTTCAAAAAATATAAGACAGGGTCTTATTTTGGGGAAAACACGGTATATAATGAATGTGTGGCTGTAAATGCAACAATCAAGTCATCTGTCAAATGCATGCTCATTATACTGCCTCTTTTTAGGGAAAGTTTTGCAAAATGAAGAAACAGAGCAATCCTGGCAAAGCACTTTGCTTCTCCCACATTCAATAGGTTTATATACATTGCCTTTTGTTCTTCAATATTCTCATCTTTTTCATTTCATTTTTATCCAACCACAATTCCCTTGACTTCCCTGTTCTTCTCAGCCCATTCATTCTTTATTCCCTGTTTTGGCAATTCTATCCTTATTCACTCTATGTGTGAAAGCCACCAGAACATCCTTCTTTCCCATTTGTCTCTCATGTCAGCGTTCCAGAAGACCCCCAACTCCCAGTAAAGACGCGGAAGCAGGCATTTTCCAAAGTTCTCTTTACTGCAATAGGTAATGGCACATCTGGGAAATCCTGAATCTGAAAAACCCAGGCTTTGCTTCACTAATACAAAGCTCCCAAAACCAACCCCTCCTCCCCTTTCGGTCACATGCTCCAATCACCGTTGGTTTCGCCTCCGCCCAGCCCTTGACCACTGCTCCTCCAGATGCTGGACCACCCTGACCTTGACCGATATGAAAAACTGTTATTATGTCTACTAACTCCCCTCTCGTAAATCCCCCCTCCTATTTTCCCACACATGAGGAGATGACAACATTGAAGCTTCCGGCTTAATATGGCTTCCACGGCTGACACCTCACATTAGTGTTCAATCCATGTTCATTCAGAATCCATCCATTTAGAACCCATTCACCCAATCTCTTATTATATCACCACACACTGATTCAACTTACGTTTGTGTTCCAACTTTCATTCAACTATTTCTTTTGATATACTCAGACTTCATGTGGATATATCCTGCGCACACAGAGAGAGAGTGTGTGTGTATCCATTTTCTGTTTTTCAACATTTCATTCCTCATAACAAAAATATATGCTATGCTTTGCTTTTCCAAAAGTATTTGCGCATCTTAAAATTTCTGCATCTAATTTCTCATTTTTAGAATACATTTTTTCAAGTTACATAAATTCATCTACTTGTTCTTGTTATTTATTACTTTGGTGTAACTTTCTATCATTCTCTCCATTTAAGAGATGTCAAATAGAGCTACCTTGATCTTTGTTAATTTTCAGCTCCATATTTCTTGTTTCATCAATCTACCTAGCATCAACAGTAAATAATTTGGATTCTTGCAAACCACATGACCTCATCTACAAAGAAAAGTACATGTAATTCATATATCCAACCAGGACACTTTTTATATCAACTCATACATTCCTTAACTACAACCATAAAGAAACTCTTGTCTTGCTTCATTCTACAATGCTGGACCTTTTGTTAACTATTTCATTTATACTCATGCAAATTTTATTTCAAGGGTTTAACTCCTAGACTTTTTGAGTCAATTGACTTTTGGTCATTTTTTCCCCTATCCTTCAGAATCAGAAATATCTGCTTCATATTTTCACAATGGCTTTGTCTGGCCTGAGAATCACTGACTCCTGCCTTCTTGGCTTTAGTGCCTTTCTTTCACTTCATTTATTAAGTCATATTATTTTCCTTTTACTCTTCTTAAGTACCAAGTTGCAATCTTGGATATCATCACCAGATTGGCCGATGTATGTTGACATGATGGATTTCTTCAACTGAAGCTTTCACATAAAGATTTTTATAAGTTGGAGAAGAAATACACTAACTTATTAGTTATAGTGGTCCCACATGCAACATTCTGTGCTACACCTGATAGAATAGAATAGAATAGAATTTTTTATTGGCCAAGTGTGATTGGACACACAAGGAATTTGTCTTGGTGCATATGCTCTCAGTGTACATAAATAAAAGATATGTTCATCAAGATGACAGAACTGGTGAGCTTGGGCACATTTGCCAGAGCACAAAGTCCATAAACGCAACCAAAACTGAATTCTATCCCAAGCATGCTTATGTTATGATATGCAAACAAGGAACTTTAGTTATATGCCTATAAGATCCTGCTGTCTATATCCCATCAACTAGGAGTGTTTCTTTTACAAGGCACCCAAATCTATAGTGACTCTGAGCAGTGATTGACATACTCAGGATACAATACCAAGAATACAGAAATTCACTTCCATCTCCTTACCATGCATACCTGCACATTTATGCATTCAGTTTATCTGATTCAAAATGATAAGAACCTGTAATAATTATATATGTTCCCAATAGAAGCACATCATGTTATAGTAAATGCCTAACTGTATTGCTATCACTGGTACACAGCCCTGCAAGGGTTAACCAACCACATATCCCATCACTCCCATAGCCACTCCTTACCTCCTAGCCCCTCCTCCTCGGTATAATAGCTCACTCCACGAGGTATTCTAGTTGTTCCAGATGTGTACCTGAAAGAGAAAGGTCCAAGGTCAGTGACCTCTGGCTCCATAAGGCCTAGCATCAATCTAGGCCTGCAATAAAGGAATTTACTTAAGAAAGAGAATTCATCTTGTGAGTTATTGGGCTAGATCCATCACCACAACACATCAGCTTTTCTTCTTCAACCTTCTTCAAGGAGGAAGAAAGTAAGGAATTTGTAGGGGTACAAGTTATGCTTTAAGTGTTAAAACTATACACCAAATGTGATTTAAAAACAATCCAAAAACCTCTTTCAGTATTAAACTGATCATAAGAAGAATATGTGAAACTGTAATTTTGGTAAGAATGTAATAAAATTATGAGTTCATTTTACAACTCAGATATGATATTTTTAAATGACAGAAAAATATTTTATATTCTCATATAATCTCATTTACCCCTTTTCCTCTGTTCAGGTATTTATGGTTCAGAAAGATGAGACCCTGAAAAATCTATTCCTGTTAGTTCATTTTCCAGCCGAGAAAGAGGGGTGTGACATTCTAGAATACAAGATAAAAGAAGAAAAATCTTGTAAGTTCATCTCCCTTCTTGAAACACATTTCAATATTTATGCACACTATGATCTGTTTCAGTACATATATTTACACTATATTTGCCTGCATATACATTTGCTATGAACTTCAGATTCTGGGGCTTGAAAGGTTGTAGGAATTGGGTTTATCTAGTCTAGTGAAAAGAAGAACTAGGGGTGGCATGATAGCAGTGTTCCAATATCTCAGGGGCTGCCACAAAGAAGAGGGAGTCTTCTTCAATTCTCCAAAGCCCCTGAGGGTAGGACAAGAAGCAATGGTTGGAAATTAATCAACGAGAGAAGCAACCTAGAACTAAGGAGAAATTTCCTAACAATGAGAACAATTTACCAATAGAACTCGTTGCCTTCAGAAGTTGCTGTGGGCGCTCCATCACTGGAGGGTTTTAAGAAGAGACTGGACAGTCATTTGTCTGGAATGGTATAGGACAGTGGTTCTCAACCTTCCTAATGCCGCGACCCTTTAATACAGTTCCTCATGTTGTAGTGACCTCCAACCATAAAATTATTTCTAAGACCATTGAAAATACGTGTTTTCCGTAGGTGACTTAGGTCTTAGGTGACCCCTGTGAAAGGGTCATTCGACCCCCAAAGGGGTCGTGACCCACAGGTTGAGAACCACTGGTATAGGATCTTCTGCTTGAGCAGGGGGATTGAACTAGAGGACCACCAAGTTCCCTTCCAACTCTGTTATTCTTCTGCCTCTGAAATGTAGGACTGAGGCAGATCTTCTCAGAGTGCTGTCCTTTGAGAGAGGAAGAGATTCTTCCTCGGTGTATTTTTAGCAAGATGATTTTAAAATTATACTAGACAAATTCAGAGAAGACAGTATTATCAGAAATTATTTAACCACGATAGCTAAATGGATATTGTAGGTTCAGGAATAGTATATTGCTTCATCTCAAATGCTGGAGACCAGCACTAAAGAAAAGGATTTGCTTTCATGCTCTGTTTATGGACCAGTTAATTGATTGATCAATACTAAAAATCAAGTCTGGACTAGAGTATTAGATAAAATGGAATCTGGTAGTAATAATAGGAACTGTTACCGGATTGTGTTAGGTGGTTTGTCTTGGTGCATCTGTCCAGCTCACTATTTCCATTGGGTGGGAGCAGTGGTGAAATGTAAAATTTGTTACTACTGATTCTGTGGGCGTGGCTTGGTGGTGGTGGTGGTAATTTGACAGGGTGGGTATGGCCAACTTTTTTTTTTTTTTTACTTTTAAAAGCATTTTTTCTTCAGCTGAAGAGGTTGTAAAAAAATGCTTTTAAAAGGCTCAGATGATCCCAGCTGAGTTGCCTGATCGTCAGAGCCTTTTAAAAGCATTTTTTCTACAACCTCTTCAGCCGAAGAGGTTGTAGAAAAAATGCTTTTAAAAGACTTTGACGATCCCAGCTGAGCCGCACGATCATTAGAGGCTTTTTTTTTTACTTTTAAAAGCATTTTTTCAGCCAAAGAAAAAATGCTTTTAAAAGTTAAAAAAAAGCCTCTGATGATCGCGTGGCTCAGCTGGGCGTGGTGGGGGCAGGGATTTTTGCTACCGGTTCTCTGAACCACCCACCACCATCACTACCAGATCAGGCGATCCAGTCCGAGCTGGGAGCATTTCACCCCTGGGTGGGAGTTTATCCATCAGCCAAAAAAAAAGAAAAGAAAAAAAGATGAATAAAAATGGAACTGCAGAGTTATTATGATTGAAATGGAAAAACAATGCATTTTACCATATGAGAGAGATTGTGATCACATGGACTGTGATCCTTTTGTTATAGTGCACAAGATTTTGGCTAGATAGACAGTTGTACCTACTCAATTTCTTGTCTGGCAGTTAACATTAAGAGGTAGTTTTCAAGAATATTGTTCTCTTTTCTTTCATAGCTGCCCATCGTATATTGAACTCTAGGGAGCTCCTAGTTTTTAATCTTCAACCAATTAAGACTGCATGGCCCTTAAAATAAAATGCAGACAAATTTGGACATAAGGCCACTTTAGCTTGGACCAACAGTTAATACCGTATTATGCTGTATATTACATGAAGTTCATGAAGTTTCCAATTTTCCTATCATGGGTCTTAGAAAATCTATGAATTTTTTCTTTTCCTTTTTCAATGTTATCTACCCTGGTGAATGGCTGTTGGTATCTCTTGGTAGGGAATTCCACAAAAGCATTGTCTTTCCGAGTAAGACTGATGTTCAGAATATAAAAATTCATGAAAAAGGCTGAACCTGTATCAGGAATGCTGTGTTATACACTATGCTACTGTAATGTCTTGCCTCTCCAGTCTTCCCCAGAAAGCAGGACTCTTGAAACTGCAGTTGTTCCTAAAGGAGCTTTTATTGGAAGGTTTGTGATAACAAGAGATCTAGGCAAGAACTGAAGCTTCTCACGTAAAACCAGTTATTTAAAGCAATGCTAACCAAACCCCTCCCACATGACATCATTGCAGGGAAACAGAAACAGGAAACAGAAACTTCATATATAGACCAGTGGTGGGTTGCTACTGGTTTGCCCTGGATTGGGTGAACTGGTAGTGGCGGAGGGAGGCTCCACCACCTGCAGCAGAAGCGTCACATGCATGCGCAAGCATGTGAGTGGCCACGAGTGAACCGGTAGCAATGGGTTTTGAAACACACACACACACACACCGGTTCCGACCACTCCATTCCTCTCAACTTTCCTCCCACCAAAATGCCAGTGTCCCTGTAGAAATATCTGGGACCTGACAGCTACATTAGTTTTACCTGCTTGCTCATAAAGGGAAATGACATTTTCCTTCCTTGAGTTTTGAAATGGGTTGTATGTCCCTCCTTAATCACCACAACTCTCTGGCAATTTTCCAGGCTACTTTTCATTTCATTGCTGTTCCCAATTCCTGGTAATAAGGTTATTAAGTGAATGCAAATGCTAATGACCATTCCAGAGTACTAAAACATTTAGAATGCTGCTCTCTGTGGCTTGGCCCACAGTGGCCTCTTGCAGATTAATTCTTTTGCCCTAGCTATTCTCAGAAGCCACATTCTCAAGTGTAATGAGTTGTGTCAAAGAAGCCAAATATTTTTAAAGTGTGTGTGTGTGTGTGTGTGTGTGTGTGTGTGTGTGTGAAGGTGTGCTTCCAAAGCATTCAGCAATTTGAACTTCACAATGTCCTATTCCTGGAAAAAAAAACTGTGTAAAAGACTTGATTCCTCAGCACATGTAATCTCATTTTCTGATAAGCGGCATTGCACACCCTCACGTTTGCCGAGCTGCTACTTTTGGAAAGAAGTAAAAAAAAAAAGTGCAAACATTTCTCCGAATAGTTTGCACTGACATGTGCCTAGAATTATGGAAATACTTGGGGAATATTCATGAGTTCTATGGCACACAAAGAATCAGAGAGGGTTAAATTAGCTTGAACAATCACAGAGGTATGACATCACTGTTGCATTTCTGCACTATTCATATGGAAACTAATGAGTAAATGGAAAGAGAAAAACAAGATAGAGGCTTAGAAAAGACAGCTTTATTCTTTCAATTGAGCAGACCGCTTAGCTTCAGCTTGTTTCTGTATTTATCTGGAAATGTATTGTAATTCAGTATCCCTTGCAAAACATCATTAATCCTCCAAATACAGTGGGGCACATTTTAACATAATTCATGAAAAATGTCTAAACTAATTGCAATGGCCCTTGAGGTTACCTTTGTATCCTATTGTTGAATCTTTCTATTTAGGATCAGTCATTATGCAGCCTGCGTATGAGATCATTCTAGGAGGCTGGAACCAAATGGTAGTGATCTCAGCCAGGATGACTGAACACCTCCTTTTGCTCCAGCTGGAAAATAGATGTAGCCAAATGCAGCTCTGGGTCCAAAGAAATCAAATATTTGTTGGTTCCAATCAAATCTCATCGCTATGAGGCCAAATTGAATGAGAAGAAGTGGAGTGAAACAAGCTAACTAATGGTTGTGTTCGAGGTAGTCTCCCAACAAATATTAGGCACATGCTATAATTTTATCTAATGAGAGTGTCCATCTCTTTAACAGATCCCAGGCACTTCTTGAGATCTGTTCTCTCTAGTTTGTTCCAGATCCTATTGTCCTCCCCTTAATTACTTTTCAGTGTACTTCCTACAAGTTGTAAACTCCTGGAGTGTAGCTTCTCGATTGCAGTTTTGCATATTACATAAAGAGGAAAACTAATGACTGATGGAAGCATTCCAGTTATCTTCCAATACGACTTCAGAACATTCTCTGAAGGCCTGAGAGTGGAGTGAAGAATACCAATCATCAGACACAGTTCAGAATGATTGATAGATTCTTAGAAAGAGGACTGATTGGAGCAGGAGAACTTGCAGGATCAGGATACTGGGAATGGGTTGCTATCAGTTCTCCCCAGTTCTTGCAAACCAGTAGTGGAAATTTTGAGTAGTTCGGAGAACTAGTAAATACCACCTCTGCCTGGCCCCACCCCCAATCTGTTCGCTGCCTCCTGAGTCCCAGCTGATTGGCTAGAAGGAAAAAATCAGGGCTCACTTGACAAAGAAGAGGGAAAAAAAAACAAGACACCTTAGCTTTAAACTGAGAAGCCAAGAAGCCTCCCAACTGATTGGCTAGAACCAATCCGCTCCCTGTAAACCGCTCGGTGGTGGTAGACTGGTAATTGAGGCTAAGCTGCCTGAAAGCGGTTTCCGATGCTCTCGGTGGTGGCAGAGCGGCAAAAAACTGTTTAAACTCTTGCCATGGCGCTTCAAAGGGCCGCCCTACAGCTGTTCAGCAGTAAAAGGCAGTGTGGTGGTAGACCAGTGCGCTCCAAAAACAAATGGGTAGATCAGTATGCTCCAAGAACAAATGGGTAGACTGGTACGGTTCTGCAAGCAGTTAAAAGCCTGATAAACCAGTATCTCTGCTAAATCCTAAAGAATTGTTTGTCACATGACCATCAAACTACGCCCACAAAATAAGCCACACCCACAGAACCGGTAGTAAAAAAATTTAGAACCCACC